GTGCTTTTCTCCTAGAAGAATCCTTTGAAGAGCATTATGACTAAAAGTGTTTTATCTAAGGAAGAGAAAAGCTTCTCATAAAGAATAACATACCTATAAATAATACTAAGATTATTTTTACATATGTAGAGAAAATGTAAAGGGAGATGCTATTATTAGGTTTAATTATAATATCAATAAAATAGAATGGCTACATTTGCTATGTACAGTAATATTGCATAAAGAGTTGTCCATGAAAATTTCTGGCATCTTAGAATTCTGCCAACCCAGGGTCATATTCTATTTCATAGGTGCCCAAATTAAAGCCCTGTAGCAGGGGTAGTGGAATAAAAACACTGGAGATCTCTGGACTCATAATGGAAGAAATAGGATCAAGTTAAGACAAATAATACACAATCTTTTGTCTGAAACATATTCATAGGAAGAAAGAAAAAAGTAAGATAAAACAACTGTTTTCCACTTTATTTCATAAGTTTAAAATATTCAAATACATTTATAACTGCTGGTACCACTTCTTTATGTAAGTAAATAATACATTTTGAGAGTGATTTAAAATTTTTCCCAATATGATCACCTGCCTCTGCAAGGTCAGTGTAAAAAGAAGGGGCCAAATTGTGACAATTCAGTGATATCTGCCTTCTCAGATTAAGTGGAAAGAAATACACAACCCACAAGGGGCTGAAATATGCAGGGGTGTGATTATAAGACTGTTCTCCCTTGAGAAACTGGGAGAAATAAGATATGTATCTCTTGAGGCCATTCCAGAGATGAGAGAAATTTAGTGAATACAAACAGACAGACACGTTGCCCACATTTCTTAGCTCTGAACATTCTGTTGTGCATAGCTGGGTTCCATTATTGCAGTTAGGCTGTAGGACGGTGACCTGGACCCGCTTTGTTCTCCCCAGTAAGAACTGATGCATTTCAAGTCGCTAATCAGCATTGTCTGTGCATTTGCTCAGCTAATCTTCTGGCAATGCGCGATGAACAATCTNGTGTGTGTGTGTGTGTGTGTGTGTGTGTGTGTGTGTGTGTGTGTGTGTCAAGAATAACCAATTTATAACAAACAGGACATTTTGGTAACATTTGTCATCACTTCACCCAGAAAATACTTGAGATTAACACTTTGTATTGGGAGATACAGCAGGCAGTCAGGAAGATATTGACTTCTGTATTACTGTGATAAACATATGAATTTGCTGGTGGATCCCTTTAAAACACACCCCTAAAAATGGAATGTGGAAAAATCTCTGTATTTCCTTTTTTTTAAACTTTTTATCATTTACACTTCTGCAGGAATAAAATAAAAGACTAAACTTGCCAAAACTCAGCATGAATTTACTTTTAACAGAAGGTGTAGAAGAAGCTGTAATAGAAAATGTACTTAATTTAAAGCTACTAGTAAATACAGAATATTATTGCCTGTGACTACAAAATTTCACTTCACCTGTTCAGGTACAGTTACTCACACTCAACCTTAAGCAAACATACTCATTTGCTGGGGACAAAGTCAGAAAGGAAATCAGATAGTTACCTGTGTTTCTACTTAGCCTCATCTTCTGGTCTCAACCACATATAACCAGTTATACGTAACATAGAACTATTGTATATAATTACATAGTAATACAAAATAGGGACTATAAAGTCCTCACCAGGCAGAAGAACTCATACCACAAAGGAGTATTTACATTTCTTGGACCCCAATCCCTCTCCCACTTTCCTCTTTATTTTTATTTTTTTGTTTGTTTGTTTCTTTAAAGGAAATAAACACACAAATATCATCATTGGGAAACTTTCAAAGATAAATATACTTCCCCTGCTAATAATAGCAGGATCTTAGGAGAGCAGTCACTGCTTTAACACTCAAGATCTCTGGACATAGAATCTCATAGATTAGCTCAAAACCCTTAGAGATTGATTCTAGGTCATCTGTGGTTTTGCACTATGGAGATTCAGACAGACTAGAAACTTGCCCTGAATCAAGTAAATATATCAGGACATCTTTACTCGTCAAGGTCTGTGTCCTGGATTGTGCTATGGTTACTCCACATTTCCTGCTTAGTCCAGGAACCTAGGACTCTTGTGGGGTGTGTAGCAGAGTCACATAAATTGTAAGAAATCAATTAAAGAAGTAAATGAAAATCAACAGATTGCTGATATGCTTACTAGACTCTCTTGTTGCCACAACACTTTGCCTGTCTTTTTGTAACAGCACTTACTCATATTGTATTATGATTTTTCTACAGCCGACTCTATCCCCTGGTAGGTTTCAGTCCATTGAAGGGCAGCTTAAAGGTAGTTTTCATGTCACCTTCTTCAAATCATTTGTGCAACAAGGCAAATTATAAATATATATGAAAATAAATAAATAAAAGTTGTCTTTGCATCCCAGGAGCCCTCTACAATGCTTGCTGTGTATATAGTAGACAATCAGCTCATTTGTTTACAAGAACTAATTCCTGAATAAATATAAAGGAAGGAAGGAGACCCATATCTTCTGATTTAAACCTCATTTCAATTCAAATGTCCCCTTGACCACAGTTTTCTTTCAAGCCACTACCTCTTTTTCTTGTTTTTCTGCCAAATATCTTGCAATAAATTTCTGCATTTACTGTATCCAAGCAGAAGTATCCAAGACAACTGAAAGTCAACAATTCACATGGTTTCAAAGTGGAAACTAAGAAATCAAAACCAGTCATCAAAATAAATGGAAAATAATTTAATCATGAAGTATTGATATTTTATTTAAGAAAATAAGCAAAATTGGAAACCTAAAAGCCATCTGCAGCAGAGTCAAGCTCCCAGAAAACTTCACTGAGATATTTGTTGTATTTTCTTTCTTTTTCTGGCTTTCCAACAAATTCCAGCAATGGTATGTCTTCCTAATGATGGTTTTTAAAATGATCTGCAATCTCTGGAGAAAATGCTTTGAAGGACCCACTGTCTAGTCACCTTGGTACATGGGTTGACTGATTTGAAAGAGTTTCCACCTTCTGAATCTTTACCAGAACTTCAAAAATAAATTCAATCTTTGTATCACTTGGGCTAAAATACTTGGCTCCAGAAAAGCAGAGTGATCTAGAACATGGTTACTGAAGACACATAGAATCACTCCCAAGCACTCTGGGAGTTCCATACCTGCTGAGTGGGCTTGTTGAGTTTCAAATGAGGGGACCCTGGGCAATTCAATCTTATCTTCTCATTTAATGAGGTTTTGTTGCTCTTTTTTTTTTTTAAATGGTACTTTACTTTGGAAGTATTGAGGCTGCCAAAGTCAAATCCATCATCTTACAAGCATGATCAAGGTCTTGGTTCAGACTGATAGACAAAATTTAAAGCGACATTCCACTTCCACTTTATTCCAGTCAGTATGGCAACAGGAAAAACTCTAAATGAGGTGATAGAAAAAATATTGCGGCATATGAAAGCCTCAGACCTACTGCCTGGTAGTTTTGCTACCTATGCTTCACAAGGTCATCAGTGCGCTACTCTTCAGATTGCTTTTAGCACTGAATTAGAACTTTTAGAGTAGAGCGGCGCCAAATTCACTAATTTGTTCTGTTCAAGAATAGATCAAGAACCCACTCATACACATATAAAACCTGCCAAGACCTAGAAGAAGGGTCTCTATAAACTTAGTCTCCAAACACATACTCTTCTAAATATCAAAGCTCTAACTCCAGTGTTTTATAAGTGGTTAGGAAGCTTTTAAATGACTTCTTTTCATTATTTTAAGCAATTCTGTTAATGTGTGACTGGAGAAGTAAAAGAACAAAACACAATTCCCCAAATCTGGAGGGAGTGTTGAATATGATATGCCCACATTAAAAAGACACAATTACTATGTGCCCCCAAAAATCTTGAGAAATTCTCTAAGAGGAAAACGCAGATATGATTATAAGCAGTCAAAATTATACTTTGAAAATGGGATTTAAGACATACTTTTGTTCATGGCATAAAACATTAAATAGAAGAGATTTATACCCACTTGAAGTAATATTATAGACTCCTACAGCAACCAGAAAGACAGTGTCCAGGAACTAAGTTAAATTGTATGATATATCTGAGTCCTAAAGTAAAATAAATAATCCATTAGAGAAATGGAAAGTAGAAAAAAATGTGAGAATGCCTGGAAGTGGAAAATGAAAATATGTAAACAATGGGACAATTTAGAAATTGTCTTTGTACTAACATATTGATGTATTAAGGATTTATTATAATTATCTTTATTATTTAATAAATAAATTGAGTCAACATAGGTTTAATGAGAGGTGAACTCTGTAATCAAAGTAGTTGAGTTCAAATCCCAGCTCTCTTCTTCCCTAGCTGTGTGATCTTTGGCTGATGACTTAACCACTCTGTACCATTTCCTCATTGGCACAATAAGACTATCATTAAGGCCAACCTGAGTCAAATTGAGTTAATACAGGTGGTGCACTGTGCCTGGACAACTGTAAATACTTTATAAGCCTTACTATGCTTACCTCCTACCCCATCTCAGTGGTATACAGTTCTCAGCTCAGGCCGATACTGGGCTTGTATGGTCCAGTAGGAAACACAGAAGCCATATTCCCACTTGTGTGTCACTCTCAACATATAAAGTCACACATTACAGTGTCCTTCAAATCTGACTGAGACTAAGGCATAATTCCATTTTCTTTGTTTTTCAAAGAGTGAGCTCCTACAATTACATTTTACCAGTTGCAAATGCAATGCCTTGAATTCTGAGATTTCTTGTCTTTTCAAATGGTATTTTATTGAACAAAACTATCCGTTTGTTCCCTGATTGCCATTTCTGAAGCTGCTCTGCCAAGACAACATCATCAATCAATGTGAGAATGTGTCAGCAGGGGGCTTCTCTTCTTCTGAGGGTCCGTGATGTTTGTTTTACAACAGAAACTGAGCTCGAAGTAAACACAAATTTTTATTTCCGAGTAAATGTTTTCAAGTTCTACAGCACCTTTGTTTTCTGCGAATGTCAATTTTATTTTGGTTCCCAAGTTGATAGAAAAAGAAATAAATCATTTAAAGAATACATTTATTTCTTGCAGCAAAATGGTCCAAGGAAACAGTCAGAATGTTCCGTAAAGCAGGGCATTTGCTAAATAAATGAAAACTTCACAAGCTAAATAGTGAATACATGTATGCGTGCATGTTCAGAAAAGAATGGGAGAAAGGAAGGAAAAATAAACTATGGCAGATTTAAATCAAAAGTGCATGGCATTATACATCTCTAAACATTGTAAAACAAAAACAGAAACAGACTTGGTCTCTGTTTCCCCAAAACCTTGGTTCAGGTTTGTGTTCCGTCTTCTGAAAAAAAGGAACTTGAAATTCAACATGAAACATGATTGTGCCCAAATACTGCAAAATACATTTATTAGTGAAGTTCCAAAATGTTGACAACAGAAGATTATACACAAACATGTGAGAAATGAATTAAGCCCCTTCTAATTACTGATAGAGTGATCCTGATTGTTATTTTACATGTTAATTTAACAACTGCTTCTAAGAATCGAAGACCCAAAACCCAGGCTGTATCTATCTGTTATATCACAAACGGTCATTCACATATCCCTCCAAGTCTCTACAAAGCCGTCCGCAAGCTGAAGTTTTAATGAACACAGTTTAAAGAGCCACAAAATCAAGTGGAAGGTTGGCAACCATCTGTTGAATTTGTGCTCCATAGAAAGACAATCCCCACCATTTAGAAACTGGAGTGGATTGTTTTGCCCTGAATGGTGTGAATTTCCTCTCCAGGCAGTCCAAAGGCACAGATAATGACCACGTTGTACTGGAGAGGCCTGGTCTAAGAGCTTTGAGAGGAGAAATAAAATCATACATTGTATTCCTTCTTGAGGAGGTCAGCTTGCTTTATGCACACTATCTAATCAATTCTCAAAGCATTCCATTGAAATGAAGGAGAGGCAGCTACAGTATTCGCTTTACAGATGGAGAACCTGAGGATCCGAAAGGTTAAGCAGTTTTCCAAGGTCACACTGGGCCATTTCCACACAACTGCAATTACCTGGGCCATATAGGCATAAAGCAACAGACCTAGACTACAGGCTGCTTTCATTTAAATGCAGGTACAGGACCTACAGAAAAACAAGGACAGGGACAGAACTACCCAAATAAGCTGGCCTATATGCCCACATTCGCCAGATGATTGACAATTTTCTATTCAACTGGAAACTGGAAACAGCTAGGCCAGGGAGAGAACAGGAATGAGGTCACAGATCTGCTATTTAAAGGATATCAGCCACCACACTCAGCTGCTTTTCAGTTAAGGTGAATATTGAATGTAATTTTCTTTCTCCAACTCCACACAGAGAAACCACTTTCAGAAACGGAAATTATAGAATTTAATAATATTTCTCCTGACACGGTGATTTGCTTTGTAGCAGTGTTCACAACGTCTACCACATATTCATCTGGGCTTATTGACCATAAATAAAAATTCAGTCACATTTTTTTCTTTGGCCACAGATTTTCTTTCTTTTTTTTTTAATAAAGCAGTGAAGATTCCATGGGCTTTCTTTTATTACCTACAAAACATTCATTGAATTTGCAAAGTTATAACAAAACAGAACACCACTGTGGATGAGAAAAACACCATGGCCATTTAGGAGGGTAACAGATCTAAAAGAACGTGATGTGCCTGTTTGGCTGCAAGAGTTAATTCCTATGAAAAATACACTTCCGCACATTTCCTTTGGCTGAGCGTGGTCTGAGGCTTGTGAAGGCTTCAGGCAGTGAGCAGGGGGCGGGCCGGAAGCACGGGTTCTTTTGATGTAGATTGATGCATGACAGTGGCCCCTGTGCTATCAAGTTTTCTCTCTTCTGACAAATCATGTAAAGAGGATCCCTTTGGCCCAAATGCACAGATCATAGTCCTAGAGCACACCAAAAGTTGCAGATAAAAATACCCCATGCTTTCTGTGACTCACCACCCATAACCAAAACTAAACCTGCAACCTGAAACTGAGAGGTTTGAGTGAGATTCAAGCCTAAAGATAAAAGGCAAGAAACCTGAGAGGAACCTGCCATGGAGTATCCCCAAACTTCTAATTTGGAAGGGACTAAAGGAGGATGAGGGATGGAGAATGCTTTAATTATCCTCCAGGGAAAAGTCTGTTAGCCAATTGCCTGGAAGTGCTGGGCATCCCAGCCAGCCTGGAGCTGCTTCAGTGAGGTGGATATGCTCCCAGGATCTTGCACTTGGTGCTCAGATTGACCCCATCAGGGATTCTCATCCTGGTGTGTGGACAGCAATTGCCTAAAAATCTTGTTTGGCATGCAGATTCCCAGGTTCTACTCACACTGACATTGGTGTGGTCCATTTGAAGGTCCCAGGAGTCTGCATTATAACCAGAATCTCAAATAATCCTAGGGCCACACCTGATGACTAACATATTTATTGATAATGCCACCTGAGGCTGTTTCCAGAACTGCTTACACACCTTATTAGAAACTCTGCATTTGGTGCACACGAGAACCAGTCTATTTATAAAGGCCTAAGAACAGCTCTAAAAAATATCATTTTAAGGCATTTTTTCATCGAAAAAAATGAGACAGAGATTAAATATGATTAAATAGTCATGGCTACAGCTGCCAATCCAAAATAGACAACTGGTTTTATAAGGCAAGAACTGGCAACAGAAGATCATGAAGAGACATTTCGACCCTCCTATCCATCTTTTTTTATGTAAGAGCTACTTCTGCAGAAGCACAGTTGAATGTATGTGTGTGTGTGTGTGTGTGTGTGTGTGTGTGTGTGTTTCTTCCTCTGACCAGTGTCCTCCATACCTCGCCCCTCCTCCACCTCACCATATGCCAGGCTTTCTTCCTGTGCCCTCACTGTTCCCTTTGTCTCATTTGACAGCCCCCTTTTGTCCTCCTTTTCCCATCATTCAGCTACTGTCGATACAATAAACCTTATAAAGAGGATTGCTCATTGGTGAGACTGTTGAGCAATTTATGGAGAGGAGAACAAGAATCATCAAAATCATAACTCAACATTTGTTAACATTTTAGAATTTATAAAGCACACTCACGTGTGTCATTGACTTTCACAAAACAAACAGACATACCGAGGAGGTACGATTATCACATCCAAGGAGAGTACAAGCAACTTGTTCAAGGCCACATTGTTGATAAAAAGCAGAGCCTGAACTTGGACCAGAACTTCCAGTTTTAGTTACACTGCTCTTTTCCCATGCCACTGGGAGGAGATCTCCTAAAACTACTTAGGTTTTTGATATTATTGAAGTGTTCCAGTTTTAAACTCAGCTTTAAAAAAATTGATTGCATAAAACCACTAGACTGTAAACACGATTCAATTTATCCTGGGGTAATTTGTCCAATGGTGTGAAGAAAAGCACTTTTTGCATTTTCTCAGAAAGAGGAAAGAAAAAAATAGCTGAGAGCTGTTATACTCTAAGCTTGTGTAAGGATGAATGTTCTGTGTCTCAGTTCTCGTCTAACCCCTTCAAGGACTCCTGGTGCTCTTCTAACTCAGTCCAGGGCATCTTTAACATCTTTAAGTTGATCACTCCAATCAACAAGAAGACAGTAGTCAACTGCCTATCCTGTTTAAGGGGGAAAAACAGTATTAGCTGAAATATACCACAGAACAATGTGATGTAACAAATCTTCTGTTAAATTAGTCAATAGTTAAAGCAACAATTGAGAACCTATCATATGCAGGCAAGCACACCAGACAGGGCAAGTAAGACATCACTTGAGAAGGTCAATTTTCTAAGTCAGTTACTAAAGTTAATCAAATAAATTAGACAAGGAACTCTCCACTGTATTTTATAACTTGTAGATACAATTTGAGGCTCAGAATGATTCCCAAATTGCACCATTACTGTTACAAGCAGTAGACAGTAAATGCAAAATGAAAAAAGGTTATCAACTCTCAAGTGCTGTGTGGCCTTCTCAGTGTTATAAAACACCCTTAAAGCAATCCAAATCCATCAAGCTATTTTGAAACAGCTTTAGAGAAGGGGGAAAGAACTTAATGCAGTTTTTATTTGCATCTTTTATTGCCACAGTATAAAACTTTGAATTTCCTAGGGATATGATTCCAAGTAGTCAGTGTCTCTTTAAAAGCATGTGACAAAATATCATCCGAATATTGTGCTTTAAAGTCAAATTTCTGTCTTGCATTTCTCTAAAGAGAAACCAACATCTCATGTGGCTGGAATTTTTTCTGGTTCAAAGTATACTCTAACCTTCTCTGAGACCAATGCTTAAGGCGGAAACAGTCTTCTCATTTGGCCACTGTGGGCACTGTCGATTCTGAAAACTCAGCAGTACAGGGGTATTTCCTGCTTATAGAGATCAAGAGCAGCAGGAGCTATAAATCTGAGAGTAAGATTTGACCCAAAGGAGAGACTTAACAACAGAGCAATAACAAATACTAAAAGAACTTTACTTGAACTTTATATGCAGAGGATGCTAAACAAGTACTCATGTAGACACAGAAAGAAATTAAGCTGTGTGACTTACCTTGCCCTACATTCTCATCTCAGACCCCACCGAAATGTTCTGGAAGGTGGTAATACTCAGAGGTATGGCTTCTGGATTTTTTTCTAAAATACTGTTAGAGTTATGTCTAGATTTATCTAACCTACTCTTACTGAACTTATATATCTTATAAAAATGGCCATGATCCTGGGCCCTGGGGCCCCACGTCAACATGCTTCAGTCATGGATTCCTCCTTCTTTGAAGACTCAGTGATACTGGTTCACAGGAATACATAGTTCAAGATTATCTTGTTCATTATCCCTGCCTTTTCTTCATTACAATATCTTTCTTAGTGTTCCTCCACCTCTTAAGCACTCAGGACCTGACTTCTGACCCAACATACATGCTTCAGACAAAATATATGACTTATTAAAATGAAATCCCACTGGGTAATTTATATCTTAATGTATTTCTTCACACAAGAATTTTCAGAAAGAATACACCAACTAATGGTGGAATTAAGGCATTTGTCACAGACGGTTGAAAACTCCAGAGTTTTCCTTGGAGACTCTCAAATACTGCCATGTCGGTGACCAGCATCATCCTGTAAGAAACCTTGACCATGAATATAGGTAGAGAATGGCTTAAGATTCTATATGAAACTCTACATTGTAAAATTATACCAGCGAAGAACGCAGAATGCCATCCCCTGCCTTTTTGGCTACTGAAGCAAATCACTTGCTTTGGAATTATTTTAAAGGGAAATTTAAATAATATCCCAGAAGCAGACAAAATGTTAAGAAGGTAAACACATGAAGCTTCAGGTAATTTAGCTCTGACAACTAAAATGCTTCCTGTAATTCACATGAAAGATGATGAAATACTTAAAGGTCAAAATCGAGTATCTTTTAATTGATCAAATAAATGTTTAACACATCACTTCACTTCATCTTGTGGACATAACAAGGGAACACTTAGTAGACTGTGATTTGACATAGATGAAAATTCCCTCCAGGGTGGTCATGCTTTACAAACCTAGTACTTATAAAGAACGTTTAATGTACTGTATCTAGGTTTTAATTGTCATGCCCTGGCAATTCCCTGGGGACCACACATAACAAAAAGGATCAAGAAGATAGATAAAGACAAAGAGAGATGTTGGATGTTTGCTGTGGGGGACCAAGTGTGTTTGTGTGTGCGTGTATAAGTGTTAGCGCTGTATGCACAAACACAGATGTAAGGGGAACTGGTTATGGCATCTGAAATGACTCGGCTCACTCAAAACCCAGACCTGACCAGGCTGAGCTCTCCATCTTGGTGAGTGTTCCCTATCATATGGGAGTCCCCCTGAAATTCTGCATTTGGTAAAAGAAGAGTTCTTAGACCATGGCCTACACCAAATTATACGCAGTTAGCAAAAGGATAAGGATTCTTGGGAACAGAGAGAAGTACCTCTTTGCTTTAGGTATTTATGAGCTACAGTGTTTTATTTTTAATTTCTAGGCTATTTAAAGTACCCTAGATGAACATAAAAGTATCCTAAATGGAAATGGCAAGAATATCCATTTCTTTAAATTAGCTTTGTAAATATATTTTATCATCTTACTATCAGTTTATTAGGTTACTTATTCTACTAAATATGAGAGGAAAAGAAAGGAATGGGTTCACTTTTATACAAATTTACAAGTATTTTCATAGTGCATTTATGATAGATTTCACAAGGGTATTACTGCATCTGCTAATCAACTTTTATACATTCAGAATAAATCAAAGGGAAGAGCAAATAATCCTAAGACAAAGCCAAGGAAGCATATGGCAATATCAAAAATTCTTCCAAAGTATAGAAAGAGGAGAAAAACAAAGCTGAAATTAACAATTTTGCTCATTTATTAAATATATGTTCTAAACCTACATGTACTTCTTGTTCATAAACTAAATCTTTCCATTAATAATCAGAAAATTCATAAATAATGCAAATTTGATCATTTTCTCTCAAGATTTGGTTATTTAACAGATATACACTGTCTTCATTAGGAAATACTTAGCACATTAAACACATTGTTATACAAATGTTAAATGATAAAGTTAGTGAAAAAATAACTACACTAAAAATTCTGAAATCAGCTCACACATAAATGAATATATACCAAAGATAGAAGATAAGTGATATGTAACCAGAAAAGTTTAGTTTGGTGCTTGAAAGCCAAAGTTAAAGCTAATGGAAGTTTACTAAAAATGCTAGAAGACGAGAAAATAAGAATAGGCTGCTAATAAAATAATGTTTTAATGTTAATGGGTGACTGTCTAAAACAATTCAAACCCAGCTCTCAAGTATGCTAGAAGTTTCAAGATGTGAGGGATGGAGAGTAAGATGAAAATGGATCAGATGTGTCCTGGGACACAGTTCATCCTTATTAAGAGGAGTGGTCCCTCCAGGATGAATGAGTTGTTAAAATATCAACTCCAAGGATGTCAGTGCTTCTAGGCAAGACAAAATGTGAGAGCTTTGACTTCAAGGGACATGCTTTATATATCTGTATAATCTTGCTGAGTGACATGATTCCTCATTGAGTAAGTGTGGATGAATGAAGAAAAGAAGGAAGGAATAAAGGAAGGGATGGAGGTGGGGACTAAGGAAGGAGGGGGGAAGTGAGGAAGAAAACTCATTTTTATAGTTGGTAAATTGGTTAGAATCAAGCAAATCATACTCAAGCTTAAAGAAACTTTTCCTAATTCTCAGAAAAGCGAATGAGATGTATTCAGAATATACAAAGTAGTAAGCTTGAAGTTGATCCTCAGCCATTTTAGAATGATTTGTTAAACACTAACTAGGTAGGTTCTTGGAAAAGAGTGTAGTAATCTCTGGGAGCTGGCATGATTCACTAAGAAAAAGTTACATATATTAGCCTTCATTTTATTTTTAATTGAGTTACTGGATTGTAAATTATAAGGTTGTCCATATTGGAAGCTCTGTATAGCATATTTAACTTTAAGTGGAATTGAAATTGTCTCATGACATTCTTCTGTGTTTGTACAGTAATGTGAACTCAGAGCTGCTTGATACCTGTATCAGAAAAATGTTTATTAATAGGATTTTATCAACTAAAAGTTCTAATATCTTGCTCAAGACCTTAGTCCACATCAGTTTTACTGTGTTTTCAATGTATCATTTGGCTGAAGATAGAAGGATTCCTTAAAGCTAGGAAAAATAGCAATGAACAAGATTCAGAATTATCTTATTAGACTAAAAGGCTAATCCTAATAATAAGATCAAAATTTAAAACTATAAACATTAAATCTTGCTTATAAGGTATAGTCAATTGCGCAGGTGTAGAATATCCTGGTACTTTTAGTTAAATGGAGATGAACGTTGAGTTAACTGATTTACATGAATCTAAGGGCTCAAAGGTAGAATGCAGTGGATTCATGAACTTGAAAGGGGAAAAAATCACCGTTTTCACTAATCTTTGACTGAAATTCAGCATATTATTCCATTATAAATATAGGCATAATGCCACAGTGCCTGTCATTGTGTCCACAATAGCAATCACTGATATTTCCTATGACATTACAATTTTTTGCATCTATCTCAAAATGGTATTCATGCTCCCTACTTCAAAATTAAGATAATTATTGGACCCACCACTAAAGCTTGTTAATAATATTAATAAAGAGATGTATATTTAGACATGTACAACACTAAACCACAATTTTATTTTCAATACTTTGATAACTGCATTTTAATATAATTTATTTGTTTATAATTTCATGTATTTTATTTTATGCACTTAAAATGTTATTCTGAGAAGTAGACATTTCTAACTACCATCTAGGGATCTTTGGTGCAAAAGCAGTTAGGAACCCTGCCAATAAAATTTAGATATATTGCTTTAAAAAGTAGGTCACATCTATAGAAATATGTGGCACAGCAGTGTTTCACAGAAAATCTGTGGGTTAGCTCACATGTTCACAAATCATACTTGGATCTATATTTCAATATTGAGATACTGACATTTGGATAGTTTTCAGGGGAGAGAAGCCGTGACCAGGAAGATGAAAGTCTAGAAATCATATTATGAGGAACATAATTCTTCTAGAAGCAAATACTAATTAATG